CAAACCCTATCTAGGCAAAATTTTAACACTGGTATTTAAGCAAGAGTTGAGAGAACGATGTTAAGAGCCAGAACTGGATTTTAAAAGCCTTCTTAAACATCTGCACTAGACGTTTTGGGTTTTTTTTTAAAGAAGCATCATTGCTATGAAAAGTAGAAGTCAGACCACGGCTGCGCGGGCAGGGAGAGGCACCATGAAATAGCCAGCGTAGGAGGCCGTAGGGATCTGGGGATGGGCAGGGAAGAAAACCTCTGTGCCCACACCTGGGTGGGAGGGCAGAAGGCCCCTCCGCCACTTAGCGTGGGAGCAGAGAGACTGCCTGGCGCAGCCACACGCCGCCCGTGCCACGCGCTTTGGACGTGGGTTGGTCGCCGGCAGGCAGCCTCTGTGAGCTGCTGTGTCCCGGGCTCCTCCCGGAGCCCCCCCGTACTGAGACTGTAAGGGCTCGGTCGAGGCGCTGCTAGAGCAGTACATTAGCAATGCCAAGACCCTGCAGGCTTCTTTGCCTGGAGGCTGGGGGGAACAGCCCTGGGCTGCCTGCGACCCTGGGTTTTGCTGGCTCTGTAGCTGTCTTCCAACCTCCGTAGGCTGTGGGGCTGCAGTCACAGGATTTATGTGAAGGAAACTATCACAAAGGAGTCACAGCTCGGCATGTGTGTGCTGTGCAAAGGAGACCTATCATTTCAAGCTGAGCCCGAAGTTGTGTGTTTGAAACATCCCACTCTCCCTTGCCATGTGGATGCACCAAACTGACATTGCACTAAATTAAATTCATGGTTAGGATTGTACATAGAGAAGATTTTGATTCATCACCCTCCCGAAATAGCGCACACCAAGAAAAAAAACAGGTTGCGAATCCAAGTGTTGTGACGGTGTGGTTAAAATGTCCGTTCCCTCTAGCAAGGGTGTCGGCAGAGCAGTGTGCTGCAGCTCGGGGGCTCCCCGCGTGGCCACGCATGCAGCCTGGTCTGTGTTTCCTGCACCCCATTCCCCCTCTGCGGGGTTCCCAAGACAGACGCGGTGAGATCAGAAAGGCGTTTCCCTTCCAGGTGAACTGGGGATGCAGGCAGCTCTCCTGCCCGAAAAGGAGCAGCGTGATGACGGGGGCCCACGTGCCCAGCTGTCCTGGGCTGTCCCTGCCCATTGGCAACTGATACAGGGTGACTCAGGGAAAGTCTCGGAAGTGCTGATGGTCTAGCAGGCATCCAAGGCACTGGGAGAGCAGGGTATCAGCGTGGGAAGCCAGAAGAAGGACACTGAGGTGCTGGAGCGTGTCCAGAGAAGGGCAACGAAGCTGGTGAAGGGCCTGGAGCACAAGTCTGATGAGGAGCGGCTGAGGGAACTGGGGCTGTTTAGCCTGGAGAAGAGGAGGCTGAGGGGAGACCTCATCGCGCTCTACAACT